TGGGAACTTAGATCTTGATCCATGTTATAGTCATTGATCTTTGTCTTGTTCTTGGTACTTTCTAGGTTCTTGTTCTCCTCAGGTTCGTTCTCCAAGACACTCCCCCTAAGATTTACAGTACTAGTCATGAACCTGACAACCTTTGTCCAAGGTTTCATGCGTTCCAAGGGACAGAGTTTTATAATATTTGGTGGTTATCTAGTTCATGAACCGAAGGTAAATAACCTTAGGAGTATTATGGTCATTTTACATCATTTCATGGTTTACCTACTTAACCTTATCTAGTGACCACTATCCTATGCATGTGCCACGGTCTGTACTTGCAATGTCGTCATCAACCGTATAGAGGTGTTTTTCCTTTACCTAAAATAAATGTAGCACATGGTTTTAGTATTTTAAAAAATACTCAGTAAGTAACCCCACTATTAGAGTTTGGTAATGCTAACACATGTAACCCATGATTAGATGTGTAGTACTTTCCTACACATGACCCACACGTGTGAACGTGAGTCTCCAAGCAGTCCATACCCCGGGACCCATCATAATCAGGCTAGTTGTCCGTAACTGATTATTTGGACGTTAGCAGACCCTCGAGTATCATACGAGGCATGATCATCATCGTCGTAGTGTACGCGTCCATACTCATCATCATAAATGAGAAAGTAACCCGATGTATATGACTAAAATATGCATGAGATCCCTATAGATTATCTTTAAATTATTTTATGACACAACCCGATACATCATTCACACATTACCATAGGTAACATGCATGCATTGGCCTTCATACGTTCATCATCATTAACATCGATTGGGGTTGTGTCTTAGAAAAATTGTCGTCATAATACATCGTGGCATCTAATACATCTACATCAACTTAATATGGAATATCATCATATTAAGTCATCTCATAATCAAGCAACTTATATCATCATGTTATAATGTATCATCATCATCATGTCATCATGTCATCATACCATGTCATCGTCATGTCATCATCTCATATCATCATTTCATATCATCATCTCATATCATCATATACATCATCACATCATCATATAATAACATCACACCATTATAGAACATCATTACATTATCATATAACAATTTCTGCTAGTAGTGGGTTTGGGCTATTACACACTAGTTCCCATAAACTCGGTGTCCTCTAACACAGCTTAAGTCAATCAACAACTAAGTGCGGAAACATCTATCAATGAAACCATAAAATTCTCAATTTGCCCCATGACTAACTTTCCCACCCTACTCGTCACTCCCGTGCCTACAGCCTTGCCTTAAAATCATTTAAAAAAAAAGGATGAGTATTAAAATACTCAATAACGAACTCCTCTATTGAGAGGAGACACATAAACAATCACATGACAATCAAACAAAATTGAGGGATCTTAGTGGTTAATTACCCAAAACTCACCATGCGTAATTTTTACCACATGAAAATCAACATCTACCTTTACTCCTTAAAAAGACTATCAATGTCTGGTTACCCGAAAGACATAGCGTGTAACCCTCACCTTATTAATCATTTTCTGCATTCACCTCGTAAAGTGACTATTAGTGCCTGGTTACCCGATACACACAGCGTGTAACCTTACCACATGAAAATCAACATCCATCATAACTCCTTAAAATGATTACCAATGGTTGGTTACCCGAAACACGTAGCATGTAACCCTAACCTTGATAACCATTTTCTTAAATCACCTTGTAGAATGACCATTAGTGGATGATTACCGAAAACACACATTGTGTAACCCTAATCACAACCTCCTTAATCATCAAAGGTAACATGCATGTATTATGTCCCAAACTGTTTATTTTCATGAGCAACCATACATTATGTCACACAACTCACGTCAGATATATTCTCAATCATCAAACAGAAATTATACATGCAATAGGTCTTAAAACATTTATTTTTATAGTCAGCATACATCGTATCACGTAACACTTAGCCATACAATAACAAATATATTCAACCCTTTTAGAAAAACAAAACAGTCAAGTTTCAATAGAAGACCTCTTACTTGGAGTGCTTCTTTTCTAATCGTCCGTATGGATATTGGTCCAACTTCGACTTAGATCGAGCCTACATTGAAACACCCAAGTTAACCAACCCAACTTGACGTGACACAACGACTCCTACAAAAAATAGGATTTTATTGCTTACCTTCTTCCTATGTAGAGGTTGGGTCAGATCCAAACTATTCAGAAAAGAACACATTGTAACTTCGTTGGTTGGCGCATTATACCTTGGTTACGTTTACTCCTCTAAATAGTGGTTCTGGCGATGACGACAGTGTTCAATTCGTTATGGCGGTGAAAATTTGATGCGCAACAGCGACTGATGGTGGTCGTCCGACATGCAGTGGCGGCGCGAGCGGCATGGGCGATGGTGGCGCTAGCGCGAGTGATGGACGACAACGACGACTTAAAGAAGAAGAACATGAAGATAAAGAGGAAGAACAATGCAGCTGAACCCTAGTGTTTATTTTAATGTATTGGTCCTTGGGCCCAGAATTTGGGCTTTACACATTTAACCTATTGGGTTTTATGTCCTTAAAACTCACCGTTGGTAAACAAAAACATATTATGTTTTCAATAAAGTTATTATTAATGTTTATTTAGTAAAGATTGTTATGGAATAAAGTGAATGTTCACTATCATTAATCTAAATTCAATAAACTAAGAACACTCTTGCTATAGTATGATTACTTGAACTATATGTAGAGACATAAGAGTGAATTAAGTTCAAGTATATAGTCAAAATGATCTATAGTACAGGGATAAGGCTGGGTACCTTATTCTTGGGATACTATTGATGCGGCCCACTTTTGTATATGATATAAACAATGTGATCACTAAATTGTACATGTGGAGACATGTGAGTGGGGGCGTGCTATGCAATGAGTATTGCATATGATCGGACCATTAAGAAAACCACTCTCACTTTATAATGTTGTTTACTGTTGAGACTTATTTTTTCACTCGATGACCTAGGTAACTCGATCTTAATCCTGAGCTAACTATGAACTCCTGTTTATTCAGAATTATCCTTAGATTTTCATGGGTGAGAGTGGCCCGATTTCGTCGACTCAATAAGCCTTCCATTCTAGAGGTAAGACTGGTTGAATAATTGGGGACATAGGGTGTAAAATGGAACTCTCTCCTACCCGCTTTTAGATATAGTAGAGAGGTTGTTCCCTTAAGTACTGACTCCAAGTCTTGAACAAGGGGCTCCAGCCTCTCATTGACCCGAGAGGGATTTGGTTTGGTGGTTGGACCACAAACCAGTTGTTCATTAGAGGATCAGTGGGACTTATTAAGGAACAATAAGTAACTTTAGTGGTAAAACGGTAAATTGACCCAGCTCTAGTTACGAACAACCTGTGAAGGATTGATTTACTAATCATGGTTATATCAAATGGATAGAAATATATCTATAGTGGGGAGGCTATGGTGGAGTGTCCTAGTAGTTGACGAATGTTTGTTAACAAGGTTAATGCGTTTAGCCGATTAATCTAAGATCGTTGGACCCCATGACCTGTAGGTCCATTAAGTCCCTCTGCTAGCTCATATCGGACTAAACCTTAGAATAGTGTGACGAGTGAGTTCAAAGTATTCGGATTCAAATTAGGGAATACATGCTAAATATATATATATATATATAATATATTTAACCGCATTTTGTTTTAATTATGAATTAAACAAAAAGAGATAATTGGAGATATTTAAATAATATTTAAATATTTTAATTAGGAAGAGGGATTCATAAACAATATATGCATTGGGATTGACATTTTATTTAATGTTAAATATTAATTAAATTGTTTAATTAATCCTTTAATATTATTTTGATTTGAAATTAATTATTTAAATTAATTGTTAAATGAAAATAACAACTTGACCTCAGGGAAGAATCCATATTTGAGTTAGTGGAATATTGAGTGTTAATATATGGTTTAACCAAACTTGCATGTTTGTCACATAATCCCACACATTTGAATGGAATTTTGAGTGTCAAAATTTCGTTTAACCAAACATGCATGTTTACTCAATAAACCTCACAAATTTGAGTGGAATTTTGAGTGTCAAACTTTGGTAAACTTAAACTTGCATGCTGGCCACATAATCCCAAATTTGAGTGAAATTTTTAGTATCAAAATTTGGTAATCTCAAATTTGCATGAACACGTAAATATGACTATATGAATATTGTGATCAACTTATCTGGAAAGTTGGCTTCAAAAAAAATTGAGAAAATCTCTCAAAACTCTCTATTTACCTATACTAAATTCCTATCAAGTTCAGTCACCTACATCGAAGTTCAGATTTTCGTAACTTTTCGCACATAACTTGGATTGACTTGGTTTCTTCACCAAAGTCGTAAATTTTTTATTCACCTACATCGACATATTTTTCTTTTATTTTTTTCTTGAATATAGAATAAATTAAATCCATTCAAAGATACCAAAAAACTCACGTTTTCTATTCTTGACCAGTTCACCCGAATTCCGATCAAGCTCCAATTTTTGTTCGAGATTTCTTCAAGAAACCTATGTGAGTCCTCTTTTAATTAGACACCTCAAAACTCCAGATCTATCGTTCAAGAAACTCCTTAGATCTAGGAAAAATCGAAATGAAAAGCTCATAGTCTTACCTTGTCCATTCTCGGATTTTCTAGAGGAATGGGGCAATCCACCCCCAAACTCTTCTTCTAGCACCAAGAGGAGTCTTGATTTGAAGTTTCTTGCCTTCGATTCGATTTCCAACGGCGGATTTGAGGCAACCGATTTCTCCGTTCTTCTTTTCTTTCAAAATCCTAACTTCTTCTTATCCCTTATTCTTTTCCTCCCCTTTCTTTCGCTTTCTTGTGATGACTCAACTATCCAGACTCCTCAGGTAGGAGTAGGGGCGAAATGACCTTATTCCTATGTTGATCTTTTCCATTTTTTTTTTAATCTTACAACTATCTCGAGCATAGTTTCCTTCTTCATCGACTCGAGCCTCGGTCTCTTTAGCCTACAATAAAAAATCACGACCTAATTATCATGCATATATTTGGATCCTAAGTAGGAAAACAAAGGACGTTAATACCTCCTAAGTTCAAGTGTTACAAAAAGTAACATAGTTTTTTAATATAAAAATGAAATGTCACCTATCAACTACTAAATGAAATCAATGCATACTACTATCTATCTTGACTTCCATGGCCATTCTAACATTCACCATCATCCGTGCAGGGGCACTTTCTCTATAATGACCCTAGATTTATACTAACCTAAAGTGGCTAATGTCATCCTAACATACTCTCTTATGCGAAAATAAACATTTAAAACTTCATCATAAAACACTGTCATGAACTTACATTCTTAAAAAAAAAATATTTAAAGCAACATAACAAAACTAAGTAAAACCAATAAAATATTAAAATTAAAAACATCCTATACTTACCTAAAGTCTAAGAAATGAAATATCACTATCCTATGCATGTGCCTCGGTCTTTACTTGCAATGTCGTCATCAACCATATAGAGGTGTCTTGCCTTTACCTTGTTAATCATTTTCTGCAATCACCCCGTAGAGTGACCATTAGTGCATGGTTACCCGATACATACAGCGTGTAACCTTACCACATGAAAATCAACATCCATCCTAACTCCTTAAAATGATTATCAATTGTTGGTTACCCGAAACACATTGCGTGTAACCCTTACCTTGATAACCATTTTCTTAAATCACCTCGTAGAGTAACCATTAGTGGCTGATCACTTAAAACACACAACATGTAACCCTAACCACAGCCTCCTTAATCATCAAAGGTAACATGCATGCATTATGTCCCAAACTGTTTATTTTCATGAGCAACTAGACATTATGTCACACACAACTCATATCAGATATATTTTCAATCATCAAACATAATTATGCATGCAATAGGTCTCAAAACATTTATTTTTATAGTCAACATCTATCCTATCATACAACACTCAACCATACAATACCAAACATATTCAACCCCTATAGAAAAGAAAAAAAAAACAGTTAAGTTTCAATAGGAAGACCTCTTACTTGGAGAGCTTCTTTTCTAATCGACCCTATAGATATTGGTCCAACTTCGACTTAGATCGAGCCTACATTTAAACACCCAAGTTTAACCAACCCAACTTGACATGATACAACGACTCCTATAAATCATAGAGTTTTATTGCTTACCTTCTTCCTACGTAGAGGTTGAGTCAAATTCGAACTATTCAGAAAAGAAACCACATTGTAACTTCGTTGGCTAACGCATTGTACCTTGGTTACGTTTACTCCTCCAAATATTGGTTCTGGCGATGACGATAGTGTTCAATTCGTGATGGCGATGACAATTCGATGTGCGACAGTGACTGGTCGTGGCAGCGCGGGACGACGTTGGCGATGGTGACATATGACAGCGCGAGCGATGGACGGGAATGACGATTTGAAGAAGAAGATGACGATAAAGAGGAAGAACAAGGTAGCGGCTAGGGTTTGTGAGTGGCTGCCTCGACTTAGGCTTCGTGCTCTATTACATGGGTGGCTGGCTTTTGTGGCTTTATGTAGCTGAACCCCGGGGTTTATTTTTTTACTGTATTGGGCTTGGGCCTAGGGTTTAATTTTTAATTTATTGGGCTTGGGCTAGGGTTTATGTAGCTGAACCTAGGGTTTATTTTAATGTATTGAGTCTTGTGCCCAAAATTTGGGCTTTACGCATCCAACCATGCCTGGAATTGGAAAGAGTCCATGCCTGGAATTGGAAAGAGTCCAAGGTCAAGTCATAGTTTTAAAGGATATGTCCCATCATTAAATGTG